TTCAATCTGCTGTTCCGTACTGAATACTTGAGCTGATGCTATTAAGATTTGAACCCACAAAATGGGCAGATGATGCAGTTTACCCATTTCAAAACTAATGTTTAAAACATCAACATATCCGTTCTGCTTAAAGACAGGGATGTGAGTCCAAAACAAGTGAATAACCTCCATATTATGCTCATGGTCATTATTCAAAGGTGGAGCCTCTAAGAATTTCCTGGTATTGTTGTCTCCCCTTCCAGCAAGTCTGCCCTGAAATATTCTAAACGTGTTCTGACAACATTATATTGTACTATACTAGAAATAGCAGTGTTTGTGCAATCAAATACCAAATTATAGAGCAGCAATAGCAAGGCTATAGTTAGAACTGGACATTTCCATTCTAAACACTTAGTTGTCATTCACTTACATGATTTTAAAGTGAATTACCTTCTGGATGGATATTTCTCTCATTCAGTCTTGGAAAAAAGAGCTTGGTAGGTCTCAAAAATGTTGCTGTTCTGCGTAGGGATAAAACCAATAACTTTCACGGTGAAAGACAGGGAGGTCAACCCATCCCCAAAGAGTCAATTGCCAAGTGATCAGTCAGGGCACTCATCAAGGATATGGGAAACCAAAAGACAAAGTCTTGACTTGCCCACCTGAGATCAGTGTCCAACATTTTCAGATGAATGCCCTAACCAGCAGGCTATTGGATAATCTGGGTTGGGTGTTTTTCATTTTCTCCTGCTGGAGCTGTTCTACTTCGCATAAATAACTGAATATTCAATAGGCCAGAGAGCAAGAGATTGACTTTTTAGCCCAGCAGTTATGGCACCTACCTGGGATGTGTGCGGGCCGGGAGCGACCCGAGCCCTTTTTCGTGCTGCACGCGGGCTGTGGCCAGCAGCCCGGGCACGCTGGATCAGAGAGGGAGGGCGACGAGCTGGAATTAGGCACAAACGCTTAGCGGTAGTTTTAAAGATTGTTTACTTACACCGAGATGGCAGTGGTGTAGGCTGGAAAACTTGCTTGAGTTGTGGTTACAGACACAGACAACACGGATGGTCACGTGGAGTTTGCTAGGCTCCACAGAACAGAGCTCCGGATGCTCTGGGTGAACGCGCCACCAAAATCGGAATCGGAGATACGTCTTATAAAATTTGCGCTCGAAGACGGGAAGAGGTGGGCGATGGATCAGGTCGCCAAGCTCCTCTGAATCTCACACAGGGTCTCTATTACCCTGCCGTGTATCCAGAGTCCCCACGAGATGGATGTGGAGTCCTCTTCGGCTTGGGCGGAAACTGCTCAAGCCTCTTATACGGCTAACAGGCCAATCATTAGCCGCCATGTGGGAATAATTTAGAACTAGCCAATAGCAGGGAACGAATTTACATACTGGTGGCGGGAACTCTTTTGCACCGTGCATTTCTCCTGCAACTTGAGCAATGCACTCTGCAAAAGAAGCTGCAGAAAGGCGGGAAACTCGTCCCTGCACCGGGGTTTTCCTTTGCAACAGGAAACTCTCCCGTGCAATGAAGCTGCAACTTGGCGGGGATAATTCTGGTGCCGAAGCACACACAAAATCATGCCTTTGGGTCATGATAGGATGGAGGAAAACAGAATAATTACGCGAACTAAAAAAGTTCCTAAAGGAGAGAGAGGTCCACCCCCAAACAGCCAATAGTCTGGTGGTTACAACATCCGCTGGACCATCAGACAACCTTGTAAGCCTCTGTAGATCTAAAATGGAAGGAGCTGAGTATACCTTGAGCTCCTACCACCCATGTGAGTGTCCTAAACAACAATCTCCTCTGGAGTCCATCTATCAGCATATCTCTTGTTTTAGCCAGCAATTCCATCCTTTTAAGAACTGGAGCGCACACTGCCATGAAAAGTGTTGATTCAATTTGACTTTTGAATTAGCATTTATATTCAAAACCAATTTTAGTCAGACAATTCCTAGTCAGTTTTATTTCCCCCCAGAAGATTTTGTTTTGCTTATTAAAATGTAAAGATAATCTAACATTCTCAAGTTAGGAATATGTGCTAAAAATCAAATTAAAAAAAGAAAAGTATTCCTAGTCCTTGAGACAACTTACCAGGTACTTTAGTACAGGTGGATAAATTGCTTTATTTTAAAACTTCAGATGAAAACATGAAAATAGTTCTCAGTGAGGAACATTTACTTCCTCCCTGCCTAAAATAATGATGAAATAACAAAATAATGAATTTTAGACTGGAGAGTTGCACAGTTCACTGCTTCTGTAAAACAAGCTCATTGCACACCAAGGGCTCCTTGCATCCCTCCATTCTCCCTGAACATGATCCCATCTTCCTCTCTTTGTAACTGACTCTAACATTTCCTCCCATGATCCCTAGGGTTCTATATGCTCCCCATGACACCCTTCCCCCCATCCCATCGATACTTGTGACCTTGCTCCCTTCTCCCCTCCCATACCACAGCTTCTACGTATCTATCTTTCTTCCCTACCCCACTCCCAAACTATTGTTTTTACTCAGATTTAAAGGAATAGGAACACAGCTATTGCCGCCTGCTTTTCTCTCCCCCCTCACCATGGAACAGGCAGGGGGGAAGCAGCATACTAGAAAGGAGGAATGAAAGTTTCCTCACTATCCTCTTCATTTTCCCGCTCAGCAAGGAACATTTAATTTAAAATTCAAATATATTCTAGTTTTCTGATTTTAATCAAAATCAACAAGTTGGCCTAAAATGTTCCCCAAAATCTGATCCAAAACTAAGATTCAAAACTTACTGCATTACATGCCAAAGTTGACTTAGGCATTTGCTTTATTCAGCCAATGACAATTAAGGAGATGATAATATCTTTTTTTTTTTTTTTAAATAGCAAATTATGCCTGCTCAGTAAGTTATACTATTTACTAAGTTATGCATAGAGACAGGGCACATATCAAGGCATATACATATTTTACTCTCAGGATCCCCTCAGAGCACTGGTCAAATGACTGTCTGTTGAATTGAAACAGACTAGTAAAAATATATGATTAAGCAATTAGATCATACATTTTATCAAGTTATGTGTACTTTAGGTCTTGGTAGGCTGTGATGAGTCAAAAGAAGTCAATGTTTCACATGTCCTGCTACACCCTACAATAGAACCATCACCATTGTTGGATCTTACAGCTGCATCTCCAGAAATGTTATACATCTCATCCAGTGCACCAAATGTCCTGATGGGAAATATGTTGGAAAAAACAAACAACAACTGTGCACCAAAATGAACACACACCGAAAATCTATCAAAGACAAGAATACCCAACTACCTGTGGGGGCACTCTTCTCACAAGACCATCACTACCTCTCCAATCTCTCAATTCTAATCCTCAAAGGGAACTTACAAAACACCTTTTGTAGATGAGCCTACGAACTTCATTTCATAAATCTACTGGATACAAAAAGTCCTGGACTCAATGTAGACATTGGTTTTATGACACATTACAACCTGCGTGACATCTGATTCAATAGGTACCTGCTTGACCTAACCTCTTACATTCTTCTTCTCCCCCCCACCTTTTCTCCCTTCCCCTACTTTCCTACCCTTTGTCTCCCTGATTTCCTACTATTTCCTTCTTCATTGAGAGCCTTTCTTACCCTGTATATTTACCTCTGTAATGTTTCCCTTTGGCCTTTTTCCCCCCCTGCTTTCTTCCCCCTCCCTCCTCTGCTTTACCTTTTATTTCTCATTTCTACCTTTTTATATTTACATTACATCCTCTCACATTTTGAGCTCCTCTCATTCCTGTTTTCTTAATCTCCAACTATTATTTTTCACTGACAGACTCTTTTCCACCCTGTAGTCTATCACTGCAATGCTTCCCTTCAGCCTTTTTTCCCCTGCTGTCTTCCCTCTCCCCTCTCTGCTTTACCTTTTGTCTTTCTAATTGCGACCTATTTACATTCTCACTGACATCCTGTCACACTTTTAGCTTCTCTTATTTCCTGGAGTCTCAGAACAGCAGAGACTCCCTAAACCTGAAGAAGGGTGACTGTACCCAAAAGCTTGCTAAGACCTTTTTTTTCAACTAGTCAGTTGGTCTAATAAAATACATCACATCTACTCAAAAAAACTTGCCTGACTATATCCTTAGACCAACACAGCTACAACCAAAAACCCAGCAATGTTTCACATGGCATGACAGGGAACCAGAGGCTTTTGTCACTTTAAGTAGAAAGTGCATAGAGTAGGCAAAGCCACATGACCGGGAGGGGTGGGGTTTGGAGACATATATACCCAGGGCCGGAAGAAAGTGGGCAGTCTAGCCCTATATGCTGTGTAAGAAGAAGCTCCTGGGAGAGAGGGGCTTCAGGAAAGACCCACGGACAGCCAGGCTACACAGGGAGCTAGACGGGGCAACTGAAGGGGGCGTACGGCTTGGGGTGGGGCATTGGCCCATAGTGAGGATTAAGGTAAGGTTTGGGAACCGGTTTGCTTGTGTGTTATATTTAAGTTTCTACACTGGAGGACCAGATTGTGACTATAGGGGTGATATGGTGGGCCAAGATTAATGTCTGTAAGACAATTTAGTGCCTGAGAGCAAGACTGATACTGGTCAGGCACATGAAGCACAAGATAGTTGAGGAACTGAAGCATTCTAGGACCCTGGGGCAGCCTCCCGCAATATTATAAATTCCATCAAGGCACAACAGGTGAGTTAGAAAAGGGAGGAAAAGCCAGAGTGAGGCAGGTGTTGGTTGGCCATCAGGGAGTATCACAGCCACCCTCACAGCCAGATATGCTACACATGGAAAGAATGATCACTAGGACATTAGCTCAAGTTCTCAAAAAAATCTGAAAAAACTCAGGTCACAACTGAAACCTGTATCTTAAACACATACCAATTTCAAATTAGTTACTTTATTCCAATCATCAGTTAATTTATTCCAAGTGTTGCTTCCAACCATCTTCTGTATTTAGGAAAATTGCTACAATATTCCTATGTGACAGAAATGTTACATAGAACTTGAAAATTAAAATTACCTCAAGATCATCCAGTGAACGGGTAATGCTAAATCGCTTAGATCTTCCAAATGATCTCCGAACAGAAGACCGTTGAGGGGCCTGAGGTAATCCAACTGAATGCCCAAACTTTGCGCCCTAAAGACAATAGAAAATAGAAAATTATTTTTACCTGTATTTAATTTTAGTACTTTACTTACCTTGGACAAATCTTCAGAGGCAGCAACGAATTTTCAGAGGTGCTCTCCTTTTATCCAATTTTACATCTGTTCAATTATACAGAACAGTGGGAGGTGTTTCCTCCAGCATCACTAAAACAATAACGGTGGATGCCACAGGGGGTAATGAATATAAGATGATAGATCACTCTAGATCAATGATTCGCAACCAGGGTGCCACCAGATCCTTTAAAGTGTGCCACAACGTGTGAGGAGGTAAGGTAAGTAGAGAACACAAGCCCAGGCTTTTCCCTACCTGAAGGATCCCCAACATACACTGCCCAGCCCCTCTGCAACGATGTAAGCACTGTGATATATGTTGGTTTGTTAAATTGTGCGCCATTCAATTCACAAAAGGTATGGAAGGGTGCCTCAAGTCTAAAAGATTTGAGAATCACTACTCTAGATATATCTGATTCAGTGCTCTCCCTAAAGCATCCACTTCTGGCACTGTCAGAGACAGGACCACTGGTCTGATCCAGTAGGGCACTTCTTGTGTTCTTACATCCTCATAGCACCAGGAAGGAGGGAGGGAGCAGAAATTTCTAAGGGCACAAATAGAATTAGGCACTCACTTTCAGTGGGAGCTGGCTGGTCTCCTTTGTGCCTTTGAAAATATCTACTAATCATTAAATTAATGTCATGAACATACTTTTTCCAGCCTAAGGCAAACACTTAGAAAGAAATGAGTTTACAAAAATGAGTAGTCAACAAGAGTTTTGCCGTGATTAGAAGAAAAGCACAAGACAATCCTAGCACTTTGCTGTCATGACTAGAGAATAGTAACTCATGGTCTCTATACAATGCTTCAAACCTAGAATCCATCTTACCTAGCCCCTGCCTGCATGATAAACACTCCCCACTTGTGTACTGATATTCTCAGTACTCAAGCTTATACCCATAAATTCCAACTTTCTAAATTACAGGAAGTATAAGGAAGTTGCCAGACTATTCTTTTATTTTACCAGCATAACTACTATTGTATGCACCTACAAAACAAAATCAAATGGTCTTCTGGGTTTTTAATGCCCTATAAGCATGTTCCACACTACCTTCCTCAAACAGTATATGCAGCTCAATCTATCCAAAGTCTGAGCCTCTTCTCTGTTCCCTCACTACAACACCCAAGTTTAGAAGGGTCACTGTATTTGTGTTGTTTTACATATCTTGAATTCCTTCCCCAATATATACTACCTTAAAATATTTCTTTTCCCTATAACAGATGATAGACTCTACCATACTGAAGCTTTCCTGTATTTCATTTCTGCACCTTCCTCAGTAGGACAAGCATCTTTTTTGGTTTTGATATGGCAAATCTCTATTACTTATATTTTTATTTTTTTCCTTCTAGTGTTAGGACTCACTGTTTCCAACTCTAAAATATCTTCTCTTTTCTGAGCATTTTGTTTGTCTTTGTTCAAAAGTCTATATAAGTCACATTAAGTAACTAAGCAAACATAATTCTACATTTTTATAATTGGATGTTAACAGCTTATTGTACAAAGTAGAGAAAAACAGCTAGCACATTATGCAGCCTTCTCTCTGTTACATAAGAGAACTTATCTGACATCTTTACTGAAAAAAATTAATATCTTGCTGTTTGTTTACCCATATGTATTCAATATGGCTCTTTAAAAGTATACAGATTCGCCCAAATGAACCATATTTACCATCAACTCCTACAAGAATGCTTTACAAATACCAAAGCTTAATATACCAAACAGGAATCTGAACCCAATTTCTACAGCAAACCCCCCTACTTTCCTTGGCATGCCTCTGCAACAGACTGGAACTCCTTTGGTATTTCAGGGAAATATTAAATAATGAGGATGCTTAATTTGACATGAAAACAAATGATGCAGTAGAACTGGTAGGCTTATATTCAATGTTTCCACTCTCTGCGCACACATTTTCAGTTTTTAGTACAGCAACATTTTTTTTGTACAGATAAAGAAAAATTATGCTGGAACAGTTACCAGAAAGAAGCCAGAGATTTGGCAACTGTAAAGCAGACTACTGAGGTCTGTAACCTGATGGACCACTTGGGACTGTAGGAAGATTATACGAACTAGACATTTCTGCTTAAAGTGATCAACAAAAAATTGAGGATATTCAAGTTGTAGAATTATAGAAAATGAGGGTTGGAAGGGACCTCAGGAGATCATCTAGTCCAACCCCCTGCTCAAAGCAGGACCATCCCCATCTAGATCATCCCAGCCAAGGCTGTGTCTACCTGGGTCTTAAAAACCTCCAAGAGATGGAGATTCTACCACCTCTCTGGGTAACCTGTTCCAGTGCTGTACTACCCTCCTGGTGAGAAAGTTTTTCCTAATATCTAACCTAGCTCTTGTAGCCCTTAGGTTTCAAAGTTAGCATCCATGAACAGAACAGCGCATAACTTTCAGAGATATTTTTCAAGTTATTTGCAGATCTAAGCAAATATCATCACATTAGTTTACATTTGGTTTCTATTTTAAGGCTGCTTGGAATCTCAAGGTTTAGAATAATTTCTCTTCACTTAAATGAAAGTCTGACTCTGAAGCAATCTTTGGTAACGAGTGGACCCTGTGTTAAATTCAAAAGGAGCCACTGCTATTAGCCTACAATAGATTGGAACAACGGTTTATTCCCAGTACACTGAGAGAATGGACAAATGAACAAATAATAGCAAATTTTAAAAAGGTAAGGACTTCATAGACATTAGGGCTGGGAAGGACCTCAAGAGATCATTGAGTCCAGCCCCCTGCCACAGGGGCAGGAAGGCAGCTGGGGCCAAGGGGTACCAGCAAGACAAACATCCAAATGTCTCTTAAAAGAGTCCAGAGTAGGTGCTTGCACCACCTCCAGCAGCAGTCTGTTCCAGGCCCTGGGGGCTCAGACTGTAAAGTTGTTCTTCCTTATGCCCAGCCTGAAATGGTCTTAGAGGAGTTTGTGACCGTTTGACCTTGTCATCCCTTGGGGTGCTCTGGTGAACAGGTGCTCCCCTAGTACCTGATGTACACCCCTTATATATTTTAGGCAGCCACCAGGTTCCCCCCCACCAAGCCTGTGCTTTTCCAGGCTGAAGAGTCCCATAGCTCTCAACCTCTCAGCACAAGGCCTGTTCTCCTGCCCTCTGACTTGACATATAATCAGCTGTTTCATGGTAACAGTTTGTGTCCTTTCCCTTACTGTGCAGTAGCTCACAAGCCATTAC